AACAACATAGCCTTCAGCCGTTTCACATCGTCTTTCTCCGGCTCAGTGACGCGGCGCACTGGGGTGATGCACTCCCTTCGCCGCCATCTTCCCTCCTCCATTGTCACATTCTTTAGAGTCCTTATTTCACTGCTGAACAACAAAATTTTTTTTGTTGTTTTATTTAGAAAAAGGAAAAAGAAGGTTTATTGCTGTGCTAGCAAAGGAAAAACACTTCGGACTCCTGTCCCAAAGGGGGCGTTTAAAGAGGTGATTCAAAGGGTTCATTCCTTGTGTTCTCTGTTGGGAGTTGTAATTCACTTGTTAATTTGGGAAAAGTCATTTCTGAGACCTTCAGGTACCATCCCCAAAGTCTGCATTACTTCAAGCTGTGGTGGATGTGTACTCAGGGACAGATAACTCTGCCTAGGATGGGGAACAGAGGTAATCCTGTTTCCCCTGAGATTAGGGACAGGTAGAGATTAGGGAAGAGCAGGAAGAGAGGAAGAGCAAGAAACATGTCCATTTTAAAAATAAGCTGAGCAACAAACTTTCTCAGACACTGACTAGTATTTACCCCAACAGGGAACAACTGGCATCTAGTTGGTAGAGAGGCCAGAGATGTTGCTAAACACCCTATAATACATAGGATAGTCCTCTACAACAAAGAATTATCCAGCACAAAATGTTCATATTAGCATAGTTAAATAGCCTTAGAGTAGGGTGACACGGTCTGAGAAGACAGTGATTAAAGGAATGACATCCATTTGCTCAGGAGATGAATGATGGTGTCCCCTCCAATGTCCCCTCCCCCTTTAGGTATGTTTTCAGGTCCTCCCAGAGCAAACATTTGCCTCATCTGTTTCAGGGCCCATGAAAATGCAATCTCCAATTGCTGTTTTACCTTCAGTGGCCATTTCCTGTGTTCCAGCTCCTGGGATAAAAAATTAAAAATATGGAATGTCCATACAGGGGAGTTTCGAAACCGGGGAGCCTGTGTGACTCTAATGCAGGGCCATGAAGGTTGTGTGAGCTCCTGCTGCTTTGCCAGAGACAGTGAGTAATTAACACATAGAGGACTCTGTTCTGTGTGCTGGGCAAAATTCTTCACGTTCCACTCATGTGGACTTTCCTAAATACAGGAAGAGAACTGATTTCCTTTTTTCCATTGTTGAGCTCAGGGTCACTTAACCACTGAGCCATATCTCCAGCCACTCCCCCCCACCCCCACCCCTTTTTGAGACAGGGTTTTGCTGAGTTGCTTAGGATCTCACTATGCTGCTGAGGCTGCTCTTGAACTTGAGATCCTCCTGCCTCAGGCTCCTGAGCTGCTGGGATTACAGCCATGCTTCACAGTACCCAACCAGAGAAGTGATTTCTAATGATTCTAGCAGTGATGGTGGAGTTTTCCCCCCCTCCTTATGAGGAAAAAAACATTCATAGGCCCAAGTTAATAAATGCCAGAAATTCAGCCCAAGGTGGCCCAGACAACAGAAGAAGCTTACCAACTCCTGTAATGAAAAGTCAAGAAGGAGGTCTGACTTCAGGCATGGCTGGGTTCGGAGACTCAAACAATACTGTTAGGAATCTAGTACCTCCACTGTCTCTCAACTCTGTTTCCCTCTTGTATTGGTCTTTTCTCTCCAGGAGGCCACGATGACCTCTAGTAGTCCAGGCTAAACTGCTCTGGCCACTGGCAATCCTGGAGGAAGAGAGACCCTCTCTTTCTCTCTTGGTGTCAGCACAAATCCTAAGGAAGACTCCCATTAGCTCAGCTTGGGATACACGCCCATCTCTGAACCAGTCATTTATCAGGAGATGAAAGACTGTGATTGGCCAGATCTGGGGGACTTGTCTATCCCCAGAGCTAGGGGTTATACTCTCCAAACTAAAGACTGAGAGTTGGTGAGGGGTGTTTTCCCATAAGAACCTGGGGAGCTACTGTCAGGTGAGGGGACAAGAACATGAACCAGGACAATGACAAGAAGCTGCCATGGGTGAGGAAAGTACAACTAGGGCTAGAACCAGGGGCCAAATGTGTACTCCTCAATCCTAATAAGAAGTGGGCTTGCTCTGTGTGTCTTTGGGGCTGGCAAGGGGTCCAGCCAGTGTATACACAATCTGGGTCTGGCTTGGGAAATTCTAGGAAGCATCCTGTGTCTAAGTCAGACTCCTAGTAGGAGGTGCCCCACCAGCTCTGTCCTTGGTTTATTAAGTTCAGAATCACATACATTAGATTGTTATTATTTCAGATTCTGTTATTTTCAAATTTACCTAGTCACTAAAGTTTATATGTGACCCTAAAATCAATACCCTTTTGAGGTCACTCAGACATGTGCAGAGCAGTGAGAAATTTGAACATGAACAGTGTGATGTTCTGACTCCTTGGTGCAGCTCTCATAGTACAGTGTCCTTTTATGGCCTATTGAGTGTCATTTTTTTTTTGGCCTTTTGGTGTCTTTTGCAAGTAATTTTGATGTTTAAAATGCCTCCCAAGCTCAGTACTAAAGTGTTTCCTCATGTTCCTACCTGCAAGAATGTATCTTATACAGAAAAAGTGTTATATATGCTTCATTAGGCATGAGTTAAAGTTCTGTTGGCTGTGAGTTCAATGTTAATCAGCAAACCATATGTGTGTGTATGTGTGTGTGTGTGTGTGTGTGTGTGTGTGTTATATGAATACAATAAGGTGTCTTCAAACAGAAAGCTCTTAAATAAAGTTATGCATTGATTGATTGATGAAAATATTGTGAACAGAGGCTTGTAGGATCCCAACCCTGTATTTCCTCTAGGAGCAATGATTCAATATTTGCTAATTCAGTGTTTGTAATAACTTCATAAAATGTAGCTGTAGAGAATAACAAGAGTTTGCTGTAGCCGGGCACAGTGGTGCAAGCCTGTAATCCCAGTGGCCCTGGAGGCTGAGGCAGGAGGATTGTGAGTTCAAAGCCAGCCCAACAATGGCCCTGTCTCTAAATATAATACAAAATAGAGCTGGGCATGTGGCTCAGTGGTTGAGTGCCCCTGAGTTCAATCCCTGGTACAAAAAAAAAAAAAAAAAAAGAGTTGACTCTAATTGTAATTGGCTGGAGATCATTAAGCCACACCAGGAGGGGGTTTTATTGTCATCAGAGTGAACCATGGTGGTGCCTAACAAATGCATTCTCAGCCTGCTTTGCCTCATCTGAGGAGGACACACTTGGCTAGGGAAGATGATCCCCCACCCAAACTCTCATTTTGTGTTGCAGACTCTTTTCTCATTTCTGGAGGCTTCGACAAGTCTGTGGCTATTTGGGATGTAGGAGAAGGCTACCGGAAGCTATCCTTGAAGGTACAAGTGCCAGCATTAGAGAGAGACTGTGAGCTTCATTCCTTAGTCATTCCATGCTGGGTGCCAGAGACTGGGGCTAAAGCAGTGAGACAGACTTAGGTGCCTCCAAATGGAGCTGACCCATCTGTGGGGAAGAACAGACAAGAAACCACCAAGAGAATCACCAACAGTAATGAATGGAATGGGGAAACCACAACAAGGTGACGTGATAGAAACAGACTCTGGGGTTTAACCACCAGTGGCTTAGCAGGGAGAATGTCCCAGAGGAGATACTTGATCAGAGAATGTGTGGCATGGAGGGTCTGGGTAAATAAGGATATTGAAGAAGGACATTCTAGGCAGATGGAAGAGTAAATATAAACCCAAGAGATTGGAAAGTTTCTAAGAACAATAGAAGTTACTATGCAGAGGGATGAATTCCATAATGAGGCATGCATTGAAAGCTATGGGGTTCCAAAATGAGGAACATTTACTGAATATTTTTGGCTGAAAGTTAGGGGAGGCCCAGCTCAAAATGGCTTTGTAATTAGGTATATGTCATCCGACACAGCAAGAATCCAGGATTGGTTCATTCTGTGCCCCTGTTCCAGAGGTCCCATGCCCCGTGGTTTCTGCATAATCCCTGATCTCACAATCTCATAGTCACCTTTGGTTGTGGATGCTTGCACCAATGATTCTTCATCTCTGTGTCCCCGGAAACCCAATGTATACTGTGCCACCTTGAGCAGCACATGTCCAGGCTTCTGGGGCTGGTCTTTCTGAGTCTCTCCTCCTTGGGTTTGGGGAGGCAGAGGGAGTTTACATTTACAACAAATAAATAGCATAAAATTGAATGCTTAAAAATCATTTTGTCCACTATCAGGTTGTTCTAGTCTCTTCTCTCTTGCTATTCCTTAACCCTGTTATACACAACAGTTTAACTTTTCCTGTTCCTTTGCCTCCTACTATGCCCTATTGCCTCAACTTTTACCTCTTTCCATAAAAGAAAGGCCCAAGTGTAATAAAGGTGCTGACACAGAATCCCAGCATCATGAAGCAGTGACATCTATCTCTCCGAGTTCCTTTTTTACCTGGGGAAAACAACCGAACATTTGCTAAAGCTGCAGTGAATCAGATTGTAGTTTCTTACAGCCAAAAGCTCCAACTAGTGTCTCCTAGAACAAAGAATGCAAACAAAAACAGGACTGGATGGGTATCCAACCTTTCATTTCCTTCCATCCTGCTAAACACTATAGAACTACTTTTAAAAAACATATACAGTGCCATGATATACTTACATATCACATGTCTTTATAGTTTGTGTTCCACCTTGAATGTTGATGAAACCAGGAAAGTACATTAGTTGCTCTTAAACATAAGCAACATTGGGTTCCTGGGTTTGTTTTTATTGTTCTTATAAGGGCATTTTTCCTAGGACCTTGGTAAAATTTTATTTTTCTTCAGGGTCATGAGGACTGGGTAATGGATGTTGCTATCAGCAACAACAAGAAATGGATCCTATCTGCTTCGAAGGTAAAAGTGGCCAAGCTTTGAGTGACTTAAAATGCCTACCATGTTTATGAGAATTGGTGACAGCAGGAGTGCTATTCCCAAGTATAAAATTTCTGGGCAGGCTCAGTCTGATGTCTGCTTCCAGGAGTAGCCTGGGAATGTGGAAAGTAAGTCCTACCATCTGCAAATGTGGAGACTTTCCAGGTATTTCTGGGTCTGTGTCATTGACATTTGATTGTTGTTGGAGAAAGTGATGAAGTGTTGAGTGTTGCTGGTGAGTGATGAAGACAGCAAGGGCCTTGGAGGGCAGCAACAGCTCATGGACAAGCAGGTGGGTCTTCCTTCTCTTCTATCTACATTACTGCATCTTGCGAGTCCCATTCCATTGGCACATCACAGCTAGTTCTGGATATCCCAAGGGCTGTCCTCTCCGTGGGAGTATAGAGGAGTTAGGGCCCGTAACCTTTATCCAAGAATTCTCTGTGCTAGAAATCTCTAGGTCTATGAAATTATGAGGAAGACTCTGCCTAACATTACCAACATTTTAGAGAGTCAACCTTGGCTACAGACACTCCAGATTAAAAGCATATAATAATACAATATGTAATAAAAATTATAGGGGCTGGGGTTGTGGCTCAGTGGTAGAGCACTTGACTAGCACATGTGAGGTACTGGGTTCAGTCCTCAGTACCACATAAAAATAAATAAATAAAGGCATTGTGTCCATCTACAACTAAACAAAAAAAAAATTATATGCTGGTGGATTCGTTGGCACACATCTGTAATCCCAGTGAGACAGGGAGACAGGAGGTTCGCAAGTTCAAAGCCAGCCTCAGCAAAAGTGAGGTGCTTAGCAACTCATGAGACCCTGTCTCTAAATAAAATACAAAATAGGGCTGGGGATATGGCTCAGTGGTTAAGTGCCCCTGAGTTCAATCCCTGGTACCCAAAACAAACAAACAAACAAACAAACAAACAAAAGTATGTCATTATGTTATTACATTAATATAAAGATAGAAAAAACTGAGTGTTTACTTAAAATTTTTATTTTGTATTATTATTATTTTTTAACTTTTCTGTTATAACAACAGGATTAGTTAATAATGGCAACTAGTAGTAATTAACAGTAGGGCTACTTAAACAAATATGCTTAAAAATATAAAAATATTTTATAATGTTTCCTCCTATCCCCAGGAAGAGCAATTTACTGTGATTTTACTGTGATGTGATACAGCAATCTGTATACGGGGTAAAGTTGGGAGTTCATAACCCGCTTGAATCAAACTGTGAAATATGATGTATTAAGAACTATGTAATGTTTTGAATGACCAACAATAAAAAAAAAAAAGAATAACAACAACAAAAAAATCTTTATTGGATATTTAAAATTTGTGGATATATTAATATATA